GGGGGGAGGGGGGGGGGGCTCTTTTGATCCCCCCCCAAGAACTCGCGAACGGTATGTCGTATGACCACCAAATTTTTAGAGAATGGTGTACTAGTGAAAATTTATCATATCTACAATTTTATGTCGTTATGACGCAATATGACGTCATTATGACGTCATTAATGTGATTTTATTGGCCAAAACCGTCTAAATAGGTTTTTCCCTGAAAACTAAATGGTATTCAACATAACTTTACCAAAAGTGTTTATGACAGAATATTATGGTGTACTAAGTCTTATGTTGCCCATAGCAACACCGGCGACGTCATAAAATGACGTCATGCATATTTAAGATATCCGCCATCTTGGATCTTGAATTTTCAAAAATAGTTTTTTTTCATGATAAAGCCTAAAATACGTTGTAAACATACTAAAGACCTTCGTTTAAACCTTTTTTGGAAAAAAGAAATGGAAGTATTGATGAAATTTTAAGGAAAATAACCTGTATATACGTGTTCTAATGATATGGTCCGCCATCTTGGATTTTGGCCAATGACGTCATCAAATTAGCATAAATTATGCATATTTCATGATAAAATTTACATAAAATTATCTGGGATGTTATTAATATTAGAAACCATGAGTAACTTGAAATAAAACCCATAAAATTCTATTGTTGAAACAAAAAGTACTAAATTTAGCAAAAAATTCCTGTCAGAAACCCGTTGCCATGGCAACACAAAAAAATTATTATCTTATTCCAATGATAGAGAATTCCTGCCAATAATATTCTAGGAGAAGTCCCCAAGTTTGGCCGTTCTACGGCTAGCCGTTCAGACGCTAGGTGACATCAAATTTGCCGCGGGCACTTTTAGCCCCCCCCCCGGTCTAGGTAGGGTTAAAATTGATTAACTTTTCCAGGCTGTACAAGCCTCTAAACATTTTGGATGCTATGAAAATATATTTCCTTAGCAACAATTGCAATACAAACACGTAAGCCACCAAATAAAATATCGTCAGATAAAATCTCTCCCGCTGTCGCGAATTACACAAGGTATGCTGTTCTTATCCGAATCCATGTCTCATTTGCTTGATTTGCATAAATTTTCATAACGAAATATGATGAACTTGACCAAAGTACGACCCATCTTAAAATCATCAGGTGACACTGGGGTATCATTTAATGCTACTAGCCCAAGTATGAAGAGAGTGGGCTACGTCAGGAGATTGTTTTTTTGGTTTCTCCTCACGGGCTTAATAAAATTTTTTACCTTCACAAGTTGGTGTAGCATCAGTCCATGTCCCATTAGACTGGCAGGTTATATCTGCAGTCCCAAACAGATGATACCCGGCCATACAGGTGTACCTGACTGTCTGTCCTAAAGTAAAGTTACTGTTGTTATCCCTCTTCCCATTGGTCGCCACACCAGGATCCCAGCATTGGTCAGCTGTACGGCCTGGAATGATTTTTAAAAAATTAAGGCAATATATCTACTTTCCAACTGCTAATGTCGCCTTGTTTCTTGTAAAACAACTCAATTAACAGTCCTTGAAAAACATAGTAATTTATATTGAACAGCAAACCATACATGGTTTTAATGAGAAGGAGGGTATTGTAATGAAAGACCTTACTTATGTAGGAGAACTGGAACCCCCGATGGGTGTAACTGTAGTCAGATGTAAACGTCAGGAACATCGTGTTAGATGTACTGATGATGGGGCTGATTTGTTGATGGTAACCTGATAACCTAAACATGTATAATCAATAAACGATCAAGATATGACAAAAAATATTGTAATACTATGGCCTAGATTTTTCCGTTATCCATAATAAAATTAAAGCTCTTAAACAAGTGACTTGACAAGCACACGATGATAGATCATTACCCTAACTACATTCACGTCGTTTGAAATCAGCAAGTGAAGTCTTTTGAAAAGTGTTGGCTATGTGCGAAGGACTTAACCTTCGTAACTCTGTAGCATCATGACTGGCTCCATCGTAGATGGTCAGAATGTCATGATATCTCTGAGTGGCGAAACTGTCGAACGTGAGACGAATGATGCTTCCTTCTGGTACAATGATCAACCACCTGACGTCTTCATTGTTGCCATAGATACTGGGATAGTTCGGTGACGTCACAGGGCCTCCAGAGGGACCCGTCATGATACTTCCCACTGAAGAAAAGTGAACAAGTGGGCTAAGTGAACGCGATATCTTGCCGGATAAAGGTTTTTTTTTGCGACGATTTAAATTAAAAAAAAAATTACGGTCGCGTTTGGCCTGTTTTTTTACTCATGTCGTATTAATAAAGATGATTTACTTATTTTATATGCAAACAACACATTACACAGACTTACAGGCAGCAAAAGCTGATAAACGTAAGTCTACATAAAGGATAACACGTACGTTAGATATATACACAGCCAGAAGTTAAAAAAATTACAAGCTGAACAGTTTTAAATCTGCATCATGCAATTCATTGACAAGGAAATAAAGTAAGTAATTGAAACTGCATGTATGTTGCGTTGAATTGAGGTGTATACGTGTAACTGAAAACATTCAGCAATAGGCTTAGAGGTCCAGGTTCCAAAAACACATCACGCACCCAATCTCTTTAGTCATTTACCATTAAACTTGCATACTAACAAGCAAATGTTACTTGTTACAATTATTTTTCATATTTGCTTTTACCTTCACAAGTTGGTGTAGTATCACTCCATGTCCAGTTAGACTGGCAGGTTATATTGGCAGTTCCCCACAGATGATACCCGGTTATGCAGGTGTACCTGACTGTCTGTCCTGATGTAAAGTTACTGTTGTTATCCCTAAACCCTTTGGACGGCACACCAGGATCCCAGCATTGGTCAGCTGTGCGGCCTGGAATAATTAGGAAAACACAATGTAAGGCAGTATATCTACTAGGCTAATGTCAATAAACAATCAGATAATTTACAGTCCTACGAAAACAAAGTTGTTTATATTGGGCAGCAAACCATACATGATTATTGTGAGAAAATTGTAATGAGAGACCTTACTTGTGTAGGAGAACCGAAACCATTGACCGATGTCAATGTGTACGTAGCCAGGTGTAAACCTCAGTAACATCGTGTTAGATGTGCTGATGATGGGGCTGATTTGTTGATGATAACCTGATAACCTAAACACGTATAATTAATAAACGATCAAGATTTGACAGCAACTATTGTAATATTATCGCCTAGATTTTTTCTATTATCCATAATAAAATTAAAACTCCTAAACAAGTTAAATAATTAACACACAATGATCGATCATTACCATTATTAATGTAGGTAGTTTGAAATCAGAAAGCGGGGGTCTTTGGAAAGTGTTGGTTGTGTGCTTTACCTTCGTATAACTGTATCATTATGACTGGCTCCATCGTAGATGGTCAGAATGTTATCATATCGAGTGTCGAATATGTCAAACGTGAGACGAATGATGCTTCCTTCTGGTACAGTAATCAACCACCTGATGTTTACACTGTTGCCATCGTTGCTATGAAAGTTCGGTGACGTCACAGGGCCTCCAAATGGACCCGTCATGATACTTCCTACTGCAGAATTTTAAGTAAACGGACAAAGGTTACTTTTACTAGAGAGTTATTAACATTTGCCTTCATGATATAGCTTGTACTTTTTGCCTTATTAGTGGCGTTTGGCGATGGTTAACAAAATAAAATCTTATCCTAGTGGCAAAAGCGTCAATACTTCGTTATTTTGCGCACGGCGTGTGAAAAAGGATGATGATTAGAAAGGTTACTTTGTAATAGACCGTTTCTGGTTACACACCTAAAACTCGGGCATGTTTAATTCCGAAAATTAATTATGAAACAAGCATGAAAAAAACGGTGGTAAAATCTGGGCTGCAAAGTTCCCACATTTCATAGAATCCGAACTGTGTTCGATCGTGTTCGATCTGGGCAATTTGAATCGAACCCGCGTTCCATTTCGGGGTCACCTGCGGTCATTTGCAATAAAGCGGCAAAACAAGCCCTTCTGCCTGAGTGATTCGTAACAGATCAAAAACAACACTTTTCTATAGATACAAACAGTTTCCAGGATAGTACATGTCCGCTATCATTTTTTGTGGACATGTAACATGTAGCGAAGCTACTGTCGTATCCTTGAGTGACCTTGAATACTGCAATAATTCTTTACACATGTATGAATAACACAGTGCACACTTTTGGGAGATATGACATGTCTGCAAAACTCGTTCAAACCTGGAAACATGGAGAGTCTAACATACCTAATTTACTGCTCAAAATGACTGTCACGGTTGTCCCGAAAATCGTGCTTTTGGGATTTTTGAAAAATGGGCTCGATTTTGAATTATGGGTAATTTAGTGCGAAAAAAGCCAAAATATTCGATTTTTTTCACATATTTGTCGACAAAAACTATACTTAAAGTCAGAAATAAACAAATCCATAAAGCACAATTTTTCACCTTATTCCTAGTCGTCGAAAAATATAAAAATCAGTGATGTTGCGTAATATGTGTAGCCAGGTTTGCTCGGTGATTGGCTAAAATATGGCAATCCAAAATCCCGAAAATTATCGACTTTTTTTAACAAAATCCGAAAAAATAATCCATTCAGCGCAAAAAATTACCATTGAATGTATGTAAAGACGATTATTTTATTTTATTTCAACGAAATGTTTCCTTCAATACTAGTTTGTTTATTTTCAAATGTTTTACAATTAGCCCAAAATCGCGTCTTGTAACCCGATACCTTATCAAACGCACCCAGCAATGGGAAAGAATACCGTAGTGACAGACCGCCGTGAAAGGACGGTTTAACTCTTATAATTCTCGTGTCATGTAACAAGCTGACTTAGGAAAGGAGAGATGATTTTGATTGGACGTGTGTCTTTTCTGCTAATGTGTTGTTTTTATTTTAAATTGAGTGGTAAACGTTAACTGCCTTGTCGGCGTAATATTTGTAGCTGATGGTTTTATTAGCCCGTCTAATTTTGGTGGTTTGTGACAGGTGGTGTTAGAACTAGAGCGGTCCTGCTGGTGTATAGTCAAACGGCTGACATTTTTAACCCTCAACAGTACACCTTCCCGGACTGATTTAACTGTACACCTGGGGTCCGCGCGGACCCCAGAACAGTTTTTTGCTAATTTTTAGAAATTATCAACATGCTACCAGCTCAATTGTTTTGCAAACTGATGTGGGAACCTCTGTGTCCACATTACATACAAAAATCATACATTTAGAACTTTTTCTATTTTTTGGTGAAGAAAAGAAGACAAGAAGAAATACCCGATTTTTAAACCCATTTCAGACTGAAGGGGCTTTTGAGGCCCAACTTTGATCTCGGATAGCGGCTAAACGGCTTGCGCTAGAAGTATCAAATTTGGAGACCTTTCCTAAAATGTCTCTGGAAAAAAGTTCATATTAGTTTAATACTAGTAAGTTGATGTTTTTTTGTGTTGCCATGGAAACGGGTTTCTAGCAGGCAGTTTTTTTTTTTAAATAGAAGTAATTTTGGTTTAAACATAAACATTTTCTAAATTTTATTTTAAATTACACTTCTTTTCCAACATTAATAACATCTTACATAATTGAATATAAGTTAAATCATTTAATATGCATAGAATATGCTAATTTGATGACGTCATTGGTCAAAATCCAATATGGCGGACTATACTATTAGCTCTAACGTCATATGACGTCATAATTACACCAAAGTTATTAAAATTTAATTCTATTACTACACCATTCTCTGAAAACTTGGTAGACATACGATGAGTGCATGAATGTGGTTTTCAGCGGTGCGTGGCCCAGACCAAAATTCAATCCAGATTGGCATAACTTGTGCACGCAGCTAAATCGTGACCGGCCCCAAATCTAACACATATCCTCGATAACGTAACGCACTCTGATTGGCTGAGTTGACATGGTCTCACAAACAAACAAATACGGGCAGTGGGAATCATTCATTCCATCCAGATCACACGTAGTAGATCACACGAAAGCTCCCTCGTCTGATCAGACTCTGGATATTTCTTCTCAAAATTTTCTCATCTTCGCTCTGAATCTTCGGACTGAGACACCGTGCGCCCGCCGCCCCACGTGGAGCCCTCTCGCCGCTGCTTCCACGAACAGCGAACGCCGTGCTCTACCCTCCGCCGCGTAAACGACCTTTCCCAAGTCTGAATCTTCGGACTGAGACACCGTGCCCCCGCTGCGCCACGTGGAGCACTCACCGCTGCGTCCACGAACTGCGAACGCCGTGCTCTACCCTCCGGAGGACCTTTCCCAAGTCGCGTCGCAACTGCTGCGGCTGATCGTACCGGAGCGTACCGGACAGAACGCTGCGGCCCGTGCAGAGCCTCCGGCCAGGAGTTCACCGACCTTTTGCGTCCTTGCTTGCGGTGAGTCTGTCATCTACTAGTAATACTTATTTCAGCATGGACAGCGCCTTCATCACGGGTCACTCCTTCGTTTGCCGACTAGAGTCCTTTATACGGACCCGTACTACTACGTATAAGAACGCCAGTGTATCCATTATGATCGAAAGCCGGCTGGGGTCCGCGCGGACCCCAAAAGAAAATCTGATATAATTTTTTTTTATAAATGGTTGAAACGGAGTTTTCTGCACTGTATTGAGAGACAACTTTGTGGGTGACAATTACCTAAAATTTCAGAAAAAAATCTTTAGAAACAAAAAAGATATTACAGAATATATAGTGCTGGGGTCCGCGCGGACCCCAGGTGTACTGTTTAGGGTTAACCTTAAACTGACGATGTTGTGTATGTTATGTGCTGGTGTAAAGTTATCCAGCTGACGGATTTTAGCATTCGGCTGACGATGTTGTGTATGTTACGGTCTTGCTTGTGAAAGGGATATGTATGATGTATTTTATGATGATGTTGAAATTCAGCTCACGCTGTTGTTTACTTTATAAATATATCATATAGTAATAAAGTTTAACCCTATCTAGACCGGGGGGGGGGGCTAAAAATGCCCGCGCCAACTTTGATGTCACATAGCATCTGAACGGCTAGGGCTAGAACGACCAAACTTAGGGACTTTTCCTAAAATATTGTTGGTAACAATTTTCTATCATTGGAATAGGATAATGATTTTTTGTGTTGCCATGGCAACGCGTTTCTGACAGGCATTTTTTACTAAAATTAGTACTTTTTGTTTCAACAATAGAATTTTATGGGTTTTGTGTCAAGTTACTCATGGTTTCTAATATTAATAACATCCCATGTAATTTAATGTAAATTTTATCATTAAATATGCATAATTTATGCTAATTTGATGACGTCATTGTCCAAAATCCAAGATGGCGGACCATATCATTAGAACAGGTATATACAGCCTATTTTCCTTAAAATTTCATCAATACTTCCATTTCTTTTTCCAGCAAAATTTTAAATGAATGTCTTTAGTATGTTGACAATGTATTTTAGACTTTATCACGAAAAAAAACCATTTTTTGAAAATTCAACATTGATGATCCAAGATGGCGGATATCTTAAATATGTATGACGTCATTTTATGACGTCACCGGTGTTGCTATGGGCAACATAAGACTTAGTACACCATAATATTCTGTCATAAACACTTTTGGTACAGTTATGTTGAATACTATTTAGTTTTCAGGGAAAAACCTATTTAGACGGTTTTGGCCAATAAAATCATTAATGACGTCATAATGACGTAATATTACGTCATAACGACATTAAAATTGTAGATATGATAAATTTTTACTAGTACACCAACCTCAGAAATTTTGGTAGTCATACGACATACCGTTAGCGAGATCTGAGGGGGGTCAAAAGAGCCCCCCCCCCCGGTCAAATCTTGCTCAAAAAAGCCCGGTATAGATAGGGTTAAATAATATACCTTAATAAACGCGTATATTTTTTTCTTGTTTTTGAATACACGTAGATACATTAATCGGCACTGACATTGACTACACGGTATGCAAACTAGGTTACAGTTTTACCACAAACAACTGTCCTTGATACTGGTGCGGAACTTGTGACTGTTGGCATGTAATTTTTACCGTGGTAAGTCTTAGTGTGTGCATGAAAAAAGCTTTATTTGATCTCTTTGCATTTAACTGTTTGAACATTTTCAGTAAAAATGTTCTACTTTGCGCTTGGAAACTGCCCTTTCTTTATGTGACAACCGAATACGAATTGGTGACAGATATGTTTGCAATTTTAAAAGATTAAGATACATGCAGCTTCACATAACACAGGGCTTACCTCTACTTCCTGTGACATCAGGCTATTAAAAGCTTATTGCCTTCGTCAAGAAGGCTATAAAATCGTTTTGGCACTGTTTGGCAGGTCCCGGTCTAGATACCTGGTGAAGAACGCTGTTGAGGATACTAGCTCTGGTGTAGTCACACACCCTCGCCAGTCTAGAAGACACCCAGCCAAAACCCTAAACGATCTCAATTTTGCTGATGACATTGCTCTGCTGGAGGCATCCACACCGAAGGCACAGTCACAACTCACCAAAACTGCTACTGCAGGACAGCAACTTGGTCTTCTCATCAGTGTTCCCAAAACCGAATACA